TAATAATTCTCTCCAGTGGCCACTCATCATCCTTCCATTGACCTATCTTTAGACTTCTTTTCTCCTGGGTGGAGCAGACCAGATATCCTAACAGCTTACCTGTCTTAACAGGTAATAGGAAAAAAAAAAAAGACTTAATGGAGCCTATGATCTGTCCATCTTTCAGGCAGTTGTACATATGCTCTGTGTCCACATATCCAGTACAACCCAGCCAGGGCCGTCCAGTCTCTCCGACAGTTAGGATGGTTCCAAGCATCCTGTAATTTTGGGAATTTTAGGAGGGAGTTTGTGATTATTAATTCTACTGGGTTACAATGTCCTGAGATGCAGGTGACATTACCCCATGGAATGGTATCCCTCCCTTTACAAGGCAAATGGGATCATTTTTATCATGTTTCCAAGTGACCGAGATGACACATGACCAATACATGTATTCACTGCAGCAGTAGATTTTCTGGCAGATAAACTTGTGCTCTTTTACATAAGTTAGTTCCCATGTGAGGGAACCACAGCCTCCCTCACTGGAATGATAGGCATTGATGGCTGCACAGTCATCAAACCTTAGGGTGACCTGTTTTGGGCTTCCCTTTTCCTCTGTTTTAGCTATTAACTTAGTAGGGCTGTTCCATCACCCTATTATGAGTTTAATTTCGAAAGTTGTATTCATAGGATTGTAGCAGACATCGGGTTGTCCATCCCCTGGGTTACACACCTTATACTGAATACCATTATATAAACAGGTTTTCTTCTGTGTCCCTGTACACTCATAATAACTGTAGAACAAACAAATGGCAGTAACTTTCCATCCTACCTCAGTAACTGGTGCATACACTGAGAGTATTCTCCAAAATCAGTTAATATCCCTACTGTATAAATCCAAATTTTAAGAAGAATCAGTCCCATGATGAGTTTCGTCATGCTTCAGCTGTGTGTGGACCAGCCAGCTTCCCAGATGTGGCTGGAACAAGGCTTATTGTCCTTCTCAAGGTGACTCTTCAGTCATTTTCTGGGTCTGGTTTAACGTTTCAAGTTTCAGCTGCTGCAGGCTTTACACGGCTGTGGTGGATCCAGGCTGGAACTCCCTTTACCTTTATGGCTGTGGGAGTGGTCAGGATCACGGTCCAGGGTCCTTTCCACCATGGTCTCAGAGGGATTACATTCCAGTCCTTTATCCACATGCAATCACCTGGTGAGAAAGGGTGAACTGGGGAGAATAAGCTTACAGGGCATCTTTCATTTACCCAGGTTGAAATATCCTGAGTGATTTTTCCTAGAGCTTGTAACTGTCATCCTAGCTCAATTTCTCCCCATTCCTGAGGAGTTCCTGGGAGTGCCTGCAGTATGGGAGGGGGCCTATGATATAAGACTTCATAGGGGGAATATCCTGCTTTCTTAAAAGGAGCACATCTAATTTTGAATAACACCAAGGGAAGTGCCTGCACCCACTTTAACCTTGTTTCCTGACACATTTTCCCTAAGCTATTCTTAATAGTCGGGTTCATCCGCTCCACCTTTCTGGAACTCTGTGGTTGGTAGTCAGCGTGCAGCTTCCAAGTGATGCCCAATGCTGTTGCCCTTTTCTGGACCAAATCAGCCACACATGCCAGTCGGTTGTCTGAGCTTATGCACAGTGGCAGTCCGAACTTGGGGATGAAATCTCAAAGAAGCACACAGGTTACCTCATGGGCCTTTTCAGTCCTAGTCAGGAAGGCCTCTACCCACCTAGAGTAAGTGCACACCAGGACCAATGAATACTTGTGTCCTCCACACTTGGGCATTTCAGTGAAATCTACCTGGAGATCTTCAAAGGAAGCTGCTCCATAAGCTTGAATGCCAGGGGGAATAGTTGGACCTTGCTTTGTGTTGTGCTGCTGGCATGTAATGCATCGCTGCGCCACAGTTTTGGTCAGGGCCAATAAATGCGAGATGTAAAAACACTGGCATAACAACTTCTCAAGTGACTCTTGGCCTAAATGAGTGGTTTCATGTATGGCCTTTATGACCGTGACCCCTAATAGCTGTGGCACTGCTGTTCTTCCACCTGGTAGCTGGATCCACCCCTCTTTAATTATTTGCCCCTGCTTCTGAATGGAGAAAGTCCTTTTCCTCCCTAGAATAAGTGGAAATCAAGTCAGGTGTGTGGGGAATTACAGGGGCTGTAACTGCTGCTCCGTAAGGAGTAGATGCCGCTTTACAAGCTATTGAATCAGCTCTGGAATTATCCCGGGGCTACGGAGGTACGGGCCCACTGATGTCCTCGGCAGCTCATGACTGTCACCCTTTGGGGCTTCCAAACCGCTGCTAACAACTGCAAGGTTTCATGTCAGTACTTTATTTCTCCCCCTCCCCCCCTGGATTTAACAGCCCTTTTTCTTTGTACAGCGCCCCATGTGCTTGAAGAGTTAGAAAGGCATACCGGGAATCAGTATAAATGTTCACAGCCTTATCTTCACTAGTTCTAGGGCTCAAGTCAGAGCAGTAAGTTCAGCCTTCTGAGCCAAAGGACCCTGAGGCAGTGGCCTTGATTACAGCATCCAGAGTTACCATGGCATAGCGTGCACACCTTTCTCCTTGTGGGTTAACAAAACTGCTTCCATACACATACAACTCCCAGTCTACTACTGTCCACGGTTGATCCCGAAGATCAGGCCTGCTGGAATAAACTGAATTCAAATACTTCAACACAGTTGTGTTCAGCTCCTGGGCCTTCTGACACTGGGAGCAAAGTGGGGGGTTTAAGGTGTTACAGACCTCAATGGTGATGCAGGGATTTTCACAGAGCAGGCTCTGGTATTTGGTTAACTTAGCATTTGTCAACCAATGATGTCCTTTGGTATTCATTAGAGCCACTACTGTGTGGGGTGCTTTGATATTTAAGTTTTGCCCCAGAGTTAGTTTATCAGCCTCTTGTGCTAATAGAGCAGTTTCTGCCAAGGCCCTTAAACATGGGCCCATCCCTTGGAAACTCCATCCACCTGCTTGGAGAGATAAGCTACAGGCCTGGGTCAAGGTCCCACCTTTGTATTGGAACTCCAACTGCCATTTTCTCTCTTTCTGATGCATACAACATGAAGGGCTTTGTTAAATCAGGCAACTCCAAAGGTGGGGCTGACATAAGTTTTGCTTTCAGTTCCTGAAAGGCCTGCCACTGATGGGATCCCCATTCAAAGGGTTCCTTCTCTCCCCCCTTAGTAACCTCATATAGGGGTTTGGCCAGTACCGTGAAGTTTGGAATCCACGATCTACAGAAACTCAAAGCTCCCAGGAACTCCCTCCCCTGCCTTCTGTTCTCGAGTTCTGGCAGGTTGCAAATAACTTGTTTCCTTTCTGCTCCTAGGCTGCACTTGCTGGATGGTGAACCCCAGATATCGCACTTGCTGTTGGCAAATCAGGGCTTTTATTTCAGACACTTTATACCCACAGTCCTCCAGGTGCTGAAGTAAGACATCTGTTCCTTTTGCACACCCAACTGCCATGGGTTGTCCCAATAGAAGGTCATCAGCATATTGGAGCAACACGCAGCCTAAGTCTTTAGCAGGAAACTTCTGGAGGTCATGGGCTAGGGCCTCCCCAAAGATGATGGGAGAGTCTTGAACCCCTGGGGTAGCCAGGTCCAGGTGTACTGGGTGGTTACACCTGTTTCTGGATTTTCCCATTGAAAAGCAAATAGTTTCTGGCTCTCCAAGGCCCATCTAATGCTAAAGAAAGCATTCTTTAAGTCCAAGCAGGTGAATCAGCTATTCTCCGCTGGCAATAATCCCAACAGTATGGGTACAGTTGGGTGCAAAGTCACTGTAGCCTGATCAACCAAACACAAGTCCTGCACTGGCCTGTAGTCTTTGATCCCTGATTTAGGAATAGGCAAGAGGGGGGTGTTCCATGGATACTGGCAAGGAACTATAATTCCATAGTTCTTTCAGCATTTTGGGTGGACCTGAATGCCTCCTAGGGCTTCTCAGGGAACTGGATATTGCTTTTGCCTAACCAGCTGAGTCCCAGTCTTGACCTCAATGAGCACAGGGGCCTGGTTGATTGCCAGCCCTGGCAGATTGTCCTTTGCCCAGAGCTTAGGCCATCGTTTTGCTAAGGCAAGTCCTATCTCCCGGTCTGGTTCAGTTAAGAAGAGCCTCCACTATTCTTTATGAGAAATGCTGAGGGCCATTATGACTCCAGTTTTAGGCAATGCTAGCCATAAAGTGCCACTCTCGGTGAAGGTGATGGTTGTCTGCAGCTTACTGAGCAGATCCCTTCCTAGTCAGGGCAAAGGGCAATCAGGCATGTATAAGAACTGGTGAATTATCTCATGCCCCCTCACTTCAAAAGTCAGAGGCAAACAGAAAGACTGTTTCTCTGACACCCCAGTAGCTCCAACAATATTGGTTGTTTCCTTTGATAGGGAGGCTACAGGGGTGGCTATCACCAAATATTCAGCACCTGTGTCTTTGAGGAAGTCAATGTCCTTGCCCCCACTGTTATCCTGACCATGGGCTCTTTGAGGACAATTGAGACTGGTACCCTTCAGTCCAATGGCCCTTCCATTAGATGGAACAGAGCTCCTTCACTTTTGTCTTAAGCCTTGGGCTTAAGATCTCCCTGTTTTCCTGTCAATTAGGGGCACTTGTCCTTCCAGTGACCCACTTCCTTACAGGAAGCACACTGGTTATGCTGCAGGCATGAGTGATTAGACTGGGTAGCCTTTCAGGAGCCCCCCCCTTTCCCCACCCTTTTGGGGGCACTCCTCTAATATTGGTAGCTATCAAGTCGGCACTTCATCAAGCTTGACACTTGTTTTCTCTATGACTTTCTCTATGTCTTACCGTGTCTCTGTTCACAAACACCTGGTTAGCTATTTCCAATAACTGTGAAGTATTCATGCCCACAAGTCCTGCCTGCTTCTGTATCTTTTTTCTAATGTCTTCTGCACGCTGACTGACTAATGCCATATTTACCATGTGCTGGTTTTCAGGGTTCTCAGGATTGAAAGGACTATACGTGCGATAGGCTTTGCATAGCCTTTTATAGAACTGTGCTGGACTTTCCTCTTTCCCCTGAATAACCTCAGAGACTTTATTGATGTTTGTAGCTTTCTGGGCTCCCTTCTCAATCCTTTCAGTAAGGCCCTCTGTACCAGATTAGCCTTTGCAAGCCCTCTGGGGTATTTGGATCCCACTGGGGGTCAGTCCCCGGTAACTGGAAGGGTCAGGGGACATACTCTTGGGGGCTCTGGTAATCTGCTGTAACATGCTCCTCCAACCATTTGGAAATGGTTCAGAGTACTCGCTGCCTTTCATCAGTGTTAAAAAGATAGATAAGCAGCTGGTGGCAGGCAGCCCAAGTGCGGTTATAAGTTTGGACAATAGTTTGCAGTAGGTCAATGACAGCTTGTGGCTTCTCGGTATCAAGGCAGGGTGTTATTTTTCTAGTTGATAAGATTAGCTGAGGTGAATGGCAGGTATGTGAAAACACATCTTTCCACCATGTGTCCCTCTTCATCCACTCCCATATACCTCTGCTCTCTTAAAGGTATCTGCACTTCTGCCTTGGATTGCAGACAGGCTGCTAGAGGGGGAGTTCGTCCTGGGAGGTGGGTGCCTATGGGAGGAGTCCCTCCACATTCTTTCCTGTCTACCCTGGATGTTTTAGGGGTATGCAGTTCTAGTGGGGGTGCTGAGATTTCAGGCCCAGGGGCAAGGACTCCTTCCTCCTGATAAGGGGGAGGTATCATTGGCAAAGGTTCTTCTGCCTTGGATCTGTCAGGACCTTAGGATTCTGCGTCCCCCAGCAGGTGGAGCAGGGTTTTTCCCTAGATGCCTGCCCCTTTGCCTTTAGTACAGTTGCTGCCTGTCCTCTTAGCCACTGTGGAGGGTTCAGAACTAGTTGCAACCATGAGTCGATATACGGAAATTGATCAGGGTATTCTGGCTTGCATGTAACCTTACATCATACTTTGGAGATAAGAGACCTGTCTAGGCTTCCCTCTGAGGGCTAATCCACCCCAAATGCTGGCCAGTCTACCTTACATAAGGTCCTCAGCTTTTCTGGTATCATAGTCACTCCATAATCCCCACTAAATCCTTTCTTGAAATTTTTCAGCATGGTCCCTAGAGGGATAGGCTTGCTATGGGTGTGACCCATGATTTTTGCACAGAAAACAGTACTCACAGGCAGTAGACAGTCTTACTCCACCCTCAGTTTCTCCCACCCTGCACAGTGCAACACAGTCTCTTTCACGTTTGCTTTAGGCCAGTAGGACAGTCTCCCTCTCCAGAGTGTTTCAGGTGCCACTTGGCATTGGAGAGTTCATTACTCCCTCCACAATACCTAGACTGTGAGGGCACCTCCTTCTAGCCATATGTGGATCTCCCCTAATTCCAGCCAGCTCCACGATTCACTTGGAGCTTACAGTCCCCTCTAATGAACCTACCACTCCCACATTTCATGGCTGGTGAGTCCAACTGGACCCCTCCAATCACTCACACAGCCATACACCTCCTACCACCCAAATTGAAACCAAAAGCAAGACTTCCAAGGTTAGTTACAGAGAGAGAGAGAAAGAGAGAGAGAGAGCGCTGAGTTCAGGAGTGCCAAATTTGGCACACGTGGGTGATCAGGCCATGCTTCCACCTAAAGGAGGTAGGCAGGTTTCCAAGGACCCATCCTGCTGTGTTTCTGATGTCCAGACTTGAGCCATCCATTCCTTCTTGGTTTCAGTCACTGGTTGTATCTGCTGCAGGGTCCTATGCTGCTTTGCTCCGGCAAAAAGTCCTACCGGGGTCAGTGCCCACCTGGGAGCGCTCTCAGGACTTGCATTGCCCAAGCAGGCTGGAGTCCCTCACAGGGATGCTCTGGAGGCAAGGAAGAGCTGCCTGTGAGGCTGTCCTGGCCATCCACCAACTGAAACCCGTTTCCCAGTCAGGGAATCAAATGAAGCAGGAGCGGCCGAGAACAAACCTCAAACACCAAACTGGGAAGGAAGTGGCTTTTTATTTAGCTGGGTGTCTGGTAGACTTACTTCTCAAGAACTAAGCTCCCTGACAAAGAAAATCCTAGCCCTTTTAATGGCTTACCATTCTAGAAAGCACATGTGAGAGGGTCGTGATCAATGAAGTAGGCATGGGATACATGACTAGGTGGGGGTTTGAGCAAGATTGAGCAAGAACAATGCTTTTCGGAGGGCGTTTCTCCATATTATGCCTGTGATCTATAGACAGGAGTGTGCGGGGTGGGGATTTATTCTTTAATCACCAGGTCTGGCTAGTGGCACTGGTTTTGTCTCCTGCACTGACCTTGTGCCTTCTATTTTCAACTTTTACTTCTCCTTTTGAAAGGCAAGGCTAAGGGGAAGTGGTCTTAGAAGCTTAAGTGGAAGGCTTCTCCTTCCTCACAACCTCTGCCTCCCGGGTTCAAACAATTCTCCTGCCTCAGCATCCTAAGTAGCTGGGATTACAGATGCGCACCCACATGCTCGGCTAATTTTTTTTGTATTTTTGGTAGAGATGAGGTTTCACCCTGTTGGCCAGGCTGCTCTCAAACTCCTGACTTTGTGATCCTCCCACATTGGCCTCACAAATGCTGGGATTACAGGCTTGAGCCACTGCGCCCGGCCTTGTTTATGGATACGGGGTCTTCCTGTGTTGCTCAGCCTGGTCTCAAACTCCTGGACTCAAGTGATACCCCAGTCTCAGCCACACAAGGCACTGAGATTACGGTGATGAGCCACCACACTCGGCCTCTTTTTCTAAATTCTTATCTAGTGGGCTGTAATGTTGATAACCAGACTGCCTAATAAATATTTGCATTATTCTCTTTCGATAAAAGCTGCTTATTCAATTTTTAAGAAGACATAATTAAATGAGAAGTTTCTCCTGTTTATGTTTTGGTGAACAACATGTAGTAATTAGTAATCTCTTTATTACAAGTGACAGAAGCCAAATTCAAAGTGGGGAATACTTGGTTTTCTTAGTTAAGCTGTGGAAAGTAGGGCTGGCTGCAGGTACTACTAGGTCACAGCACTTCAGAACATGCCTCTTCCTGGGAAAAGGCAGCAGTTCCTGTTTGCACCAGTGGATAAATGGAAAGGGGGTGCAATTTACTACCCTGTATAAGGAGGTCATTGTTTCTAAGGGAAGGGAAGAACACTGACACACAGCAACAAATGTTGGCCACACTTTAGAAAAAACAGTCATTTAGAACAGTAATCATAGTAGCAAATGTTTGTGTAGCACTTTGATATTTTCCAAGTGCTTTCATCTTCACAAAAATCTTCTGGTTTCTCAGGAGGATTGCTCTGGCTAAAGACAAATGAATAAGGTAAAGAGCAGCAGCATCCAGGTCAGAGGGAGACAGGGAGTGCCAGTTCATCAGGCAGAGACAGGGTGGATGGAGAAGAGGCCTGTCCAGATCTAGAATCCCTGCTTTTGACCACATAGTGTTTTATAATGACTCAGATATGTGTTGGATTTTTCAAATGAATTTTTTTTTTGGAGTTAAGTCAGTCTTCCAGATACAGTAGATAACCAAGCTAGGCAGCAAGGTTTTAAGTTACGAATAGTTTTCTGGGTGGCTCCATTTATGCACCGATTTTGTAACTGAGTACCTCCATTTTTTTCTAAGAAAAGGAGAATGAGTTACTATTTTATTATTATTATTTTTCTTTCTCTTTTCCCCTGTCCCTACTTCCTACTTGCCCCTATTGAAATGCAAATAGAGCCTTTTACCTTCCTTTCACCAGACATTTCCTGCAGGGCAAGTTCATCTAACTACTTAAATCAAGTCAACAGTGTATTTACAAACCAAAGCATGCCCACTGTGGAGCCTTCACCCACCAGGAGGCTATCTGGAGAGAGAATAGTAGGAAAGTTTGCCCACTACTCTCTCCCACCTGGGGAGTTTTTGGCCTAGTCCTGCCCACAAAGGCACCAGTAGTCACCCACTTGACTGCACATTAGATAAGGCACCTGAGCTAGCATGTGGACCTCCCCATCCTTGCTCACCTCCTCTCCTGCCTTTTAGAAGTGTCCACTTCCACTCCAAAAGTGAGATAGTACCCTTTAAGCAGGAAGCCTGTACTCCTTCCCCTAAGCTATTTTTGGAATAAATCTCTTTATACCATACCTTGCTCCTGTTTATTGGACTTTGTAAACAGCAAGGTAGTAACTTGCCTTTTAGTTAAAATTTCTTTTTTTTTAAATGCGTAGAGACGGGGCTTCACTATGTTGTGCAGGCTGGTTTTGAACTTCTGGCCTCAAGCAGTCCTCCTGACTTGGCTTTCCAATATGCTGGGTTTAAAGGTATAAGCCACTATGCCCCGCTTGCACTGACTTAACAAACTTCTTTAAAAATGCCTGTGATGTTCTAGGCCTAGTGCTGAGTATGCAGGATTCAAAGTTGAACAGGGGATTGCCATTGCCCAGGAGAGACTACCGGGTAATTTGGGAGACAGATATGTAAACAGATGATTATAACAATGGGGTAATTGCTAAGGAAACTCTGTTCCAAGATGGTGGAGGGCAAAAGGCAGGAAATGTGACTGGGGCTAAGTCAAATAAAAATTCCTGAAGGAGACAACATTTGGATCAAGTCTTGAAGACTGTTTAAGACGTCATGTCTTTTCTAGGCCTTTGGGTTGGTGGATGGAAGAAGAATGCTGCAAGCAAGGGAGTAGCACCCACACAGGCAGGCTGAAGGTCAACAGGGTGTGACCAGAGCACAGGATGTGGGCGGAGACCTGATGGTGAGGGGTAGCATGAACCTGTCTCCTCACCCTAGAGTCCACTGTAAAATTAGAACATACCTATTGATAGTTGAGTTCTAAAATGCTTGATTCAATTTGGAATCAGATTTCTGTAATTATCCCTCACCTCTCAAGGACTCAATTTCTGTGTGGAGTCCATTTTCCTATTAAGAGACTGAGGAAATTCTATTCAAATTCCACAATGCTGGGTTTTAACTTGGATCAAAATCTTGGGTCACTTCAGAACATTTTGGGCTTTTGAGAGGCCAGCCTGCTAGGTTTATTTCAGGACTGTTGCTATAGAACGCATTTTTTCAGTTTTCAGCAATTTCTACCTCTGTGTAAGTAAACATTGAATTGGAGCTCTGCTGGGTGCTTTGGTCACACTCTTTACCACTGAAAAATGGAAGCGGAAATGAAAGACTAAAAGCCATTTTCCCTTTGTCCTCGTGGTTTCCTATTCTTGCCGTTAACAGATTACTGCAGATTTAGTTACTTAAACAACACAAATTTACTTTCTTCCTGTTCTGGAGGTCAGAAGTCCAAAATCCATTTCACTGTACTAAAGTCAAGGTGTTGACAGGGCTTGTTCCTTCTGGACATTCTGAAGGGAAAATCCATGTTCTTGGCTTTTTCATTGTTGAGTGGCTGCCAGTATTCCATGGCTCATAGCCCCTTCCTCCATCTGTAAGACACATACATCACTCCAACCTCTGCTTCTGGTACCACACCACCTTCTCTTTCACAGACTCCTCCTGCAGCCCTCTCATAGGCACTCCTGTGATTATATCAGGCCCACCTGGATGATCCGGGATCATCTCCCCATCTCGAGGTCCTTAACTTGATCATAACTGCAAAGTTCCTTCTGTCACATGAGGTAACGCAGGTCCAAGGATTAGGTCAAAGACCTTTCTGGAGGCCACCATTCAGCCCACCACAGGCCCCTACCAGTTTATGCATCCATAAGTTTGGTGGCAGCAGCTCTCTTACCTTCTCAATCACATTGATGCTGCACACATTTTTGTAGTTGAAGTTTTGTGTACTTTTTGTCTAATTTGCATCTAAATGCTTTTGAATTTAGCATATAGAACAATGCAAACAAGGAATTCAGTGATCTAAATTTAATATCATTGTTTGTTAGTTTCTTAAGACTTGCTTGACAATGAGGGTAATATTTAGCATAAAGTTGCCTTAGTAAGTTTAAAGAAAGAACACATTTATTTTTAAAGAGCTAGAGTGATTGATCTCCCATGATGTCCTGTGATGTCTTTATTGTATTTTCAGGGTACCTTCTCAGCTTTATATTCCTGTTGCTTGTGTATGTGATTTGTCTACTAGGCTGTAAGCTTCTTGGGAATGCAGCCCTTTCCTGATTTATCAGTCTGTTTCATAGAGCACATAACACACCTAAAATATGATTAGATGCTTTGTACGTATTAACTTTTAAAATGCTCACCAAAAACCTATGAGACAGAGAGGCTCAGAGGATATATAACTTGTCCAGAATTAGACAGCTAATAAGATACAGTGCTGATACTCAAACACACTCTGACTCTGGCGCCCATGCTTTTTCCAACTGTATTATGCTCCTTTTGGCTACTGCACTGTATGCTGAATGAATCATAATTATTTCTTTATAGCTAGCACAGCACTTTTACATACATTATCTCATTAGATGCCCATTTAAAAAAAAAGACAGGCAACTATCACTTGTTTATTTTAGAGATAAGCAAACAGGGTCAGAATGGTCAATGTGTACATTATTCACTCATTTAATCTTTGATTATGCAGACATTCACTGAGCCTCTATGTGCCAAGGCTGGAGTATGCCTTGGGAAACAGTGGTACACAGGGAAAGAAATCTGCTCCCTCAGGGAGCTTATGATGCTGTGGGGAATGCAGCATTACCTGGGCCAGTTCTGCTCCAATGGAGAAGTAGAGTGTTTTGTAGAAACAGGCAATAGGGGATTCAATCTGGGTCATCATAAAGGCTTTGCTGGCCAGGGTATATTAATCAATGCACTCTTGGTTTCCAGTAACATAAATTTTATTCAAAACTAAAATTTTGGGGTATGTATTGACTTATATTGCTGAAAAAAATGTCTGGATGTAAACTAGCTTCTGACTAGGTCCAGAAATTTATATGATGTTATTAGATCTCTGTGTTGGATTTATTCTTCACTGGTTGTCAACCTTAGTTACAGAGGTGGCAATTGGGCAGTGATATGCCTTTATTTTTCTTACTGGTAGAAACCCAGGAAAAGAAGAGGGCAATTATTTCTTGATAACTCCAAAAACATAGTTCCTTAGGGGGACTCAGTTTGGCCCTGTTTGGACCACATATCCAAATATCACTATGGCCAAGGGTTCAGAGTACTTTGGACAAGTCAGTTTGCCCCCTTTGAGCCACATTTTTCTTATCTGCAAAATATGAATAACAGTTATTATCCTCTTCACTGCTTTATTGTAGTAAATAAATGAGATAATATGTGTATGCGTTGAACACAGAGACTGGCACATAACAGACACTGGATAAATATGGCTATTTTCATAACTATCAAAGGTAATATTATAAAATCTTTAGGATGGAAGAAACCACAGAGGTCAAGTCCAACTCTAGTCTTCCTTCTATCCTTACTACCTGAGTACTACCAGAGCACTTTGATTGACTAAGCTGGGTCCTGTACCTCCCTCCAACCCCCTCAGCCCCACTGTGCAGGAAGCAGGGCTTTGTACTTCACTTTGGAAAAGGATAGTTGTCTGAAAGGCACATTTTCTGAGCTTTTTCTGGCAAAATATCTGCCTATCTTATGAGACAAAACTAACATATTCCTTGCAGACTCACAGAATTAGTATAGTCAGGTATACTATGGCACGAACCACATGTCTTAAAAAATCACCACACTATGCAAAGTCAGGCAATAAAAGCCAAGAGCTTATGGGAAAAATGAGGTTATGGGCACCACAGTCACACTTCGTCAATGAAACATTAAAGGTAGCAGCCTCATAAAAATACTGCTATAACTTTATGCATAGATACTTCAGTAAGTATACCTCCTCAACTTGAGAAAGATCTGAAGTGTTGTTGTTGGAGATGGACAAGAAAAAGTCTCCTGCTTATGAGTTGCTGGGAAATGGTGGAAGAAGCATTATTGAACTTGGTGATCTTTTGCAGCCTTAAATCTGGAACATGGTTTATGGAGTAGATTTATAATTGATACATATTTCATCAAAGTTGTGGATTTGGTCCAATATATAACCAACTTCTTCAATTAATATCTGTAGCTAGAAATTATTTTATAGCTTTCTTATCTGTACTTTGGTTTCACCAAATAATTGAAGGCTTTTAGAAATTTGCAGGGTTTTAAATTTTTTAAACAGGGTCTAGCTCTGTTGCTTGGAGTACAGTAGCACAGTTATGGTTCACTATAACCTCTGCCTCCTGGGCTCAAGCATTCCTCCCACCTCAGCCTCCAGAGTAGCTGGGCTACAGGCACATGTTACCACACTCTGGCAATTTTGGTATATTTTGCTGGAGATGAGATTTCGCCATGTTGCCCAGACTGGTCTCAAACTTAGGCTCAAGCTATCTACCCAACTGAGCCTCCTGAAGTGATGGGATTATAGTTGTGAGCCATAGTGCCTGGCCATAGAAATATTTAAAATCACCAAACCCACCACTGCTAAAAGTGAAAAGAGCCACTGATGCATGATTTGGCCATTTCTGCTTAGGGTCTTCTTATAGAGATGGTGTTTTCTTTTTGTGAAAAAGACTGTTTCTGAGTCTTTTTTGTTTGGTATTCAATCCATACGCTCAATAATATTTCCATTTCTTCTATTTCTACAGGCCTTGCAGTTTCTTACTGAATTCACAACCCTTAGAGTTGTTCCAACCGTAGACATTTTCTTGAATTTTCTGTAATTGTCTCTCATGGTTTGAAATGTGGATTTCTTTGTACCTGTTGTTCTGGAGAGATGTGTATTCTTTTGTTTCTTTTAAAATGCTCATTTTGAGTTTCTTCTCAAGTCTTACAACTTTCCTTTTACATGTACTTCTTGGCATTTTTTCAACCTGGGTACTTAAACATAAAGAGGATGTTGAAAGGGCATTTTTTTATGTAGACCAGTTCACAAATGTCAAAAAAAAAAAATAGCAAAACACAGCATTCTAGAATAATGCACATGGTAAACTGGTTGCTGGTAGATATTTGAAATATATGTTTTATGTCTTCTTGTATGGCTTAGTTCAGCTGAATGGAGTTTTCTGTGTTCCTCCAGCGTAGTAGTTTTTGGTAGAAAAAAATGAGTTCATGTAAATGCAATATTCTATATTACACTTAAATTGTTTCCTAATATATCAATTGCATTACAACATATTTTTCTTTTCAAAAGAAGAAATCCAGAAAAACAGTCTGTAATTGGAAGAGATGAGAATAAAACCCAGGATTTCTAACTTAGCCACTTTTTTTTTTTTTCCTACACAGCAGTGCTAAAATGGCTAGCAGTTATGTGAACATTCAGTATTTAAAATATAAAGAAATGTATTTTTAACACGGAAATGCCAGAGCCTACACATAGAGGTTTTATTGCCTTGGGAGGTTATAAGACTACACAGGCATTTTTAAGTGATTGCAACCACTGTTTAAAATGCATTTGGAAGAGTTTTGGTTTAGCCTTCATCTCCAGACCCATTTCAAGGTATTTTCTAAAATTACTTTTACTATTTTATTATCAGGTGTCTAGCAAGTCTTCCTACTTGATTATTACTTTTTTCCCCTACTCTCACCTGCTTCTGAAACATATTACTAGAAGAGCTAGTTTGTGAACATATTTATAAACCTTAAAGAATTATACTAACAGAAGTTGCTACATTTTGTCTTTGGCAATAGTCACTGAAAAATGAATTACCTTCTTCAGATACAAGCTTTTCCACCATAAAGAATTTCTAAAATAAAGGGCCAGAGACTTTGAAGCCAATTCTAAAAGAAGATCTCTCAAAATAAATTGAACTTTGTTGGGAAAATTGTATTGCAATCTTTGGTGGAATAAAGACTCTGTGATCTCTACTAGAATATCTGTTAACTCTCATCATTTTATAATCTCCATATATATTTTATTACTGCCTGACAAAACCAAATTGTCAAAATTTGAGCACTGGTTTCATATTTTAATTTTTAAAAAATATTTATCCACACCCAGGCTAGCATCCAACATACAGTAAATACCGAACTGGTGGTTGACTGGTTGGTTGATACTTTCCTAGCAGTGCCTTACACTCAGAAGTTAATAAAGATTTGATGCTATGAATTGTTTGTTATACTCTGATTATTCAATATTTATCTCTTATCGTTGAATATGGTATTTCGTAAGCAAGTAGGATTATACTTAAGTGAAGCAATTCTTAGTGAAGATAAGATAAATTATTTTCTCTTTCCCTTTTTTTTATGTCAGTTGTAGAAATGTGAGATTATTACACATTTCAGCACATAGCAAATATTCACTATTGGTCCCAGCAACTTCTGCCTCTTGTTTTAGTTTACTTCTCTTTAGTTTGTTATCTCTCCAAATCCCAGGCTCATCTACTCACCACAAAGATACTCACTCTAAAATGTATTCTGTATGCCTTACCTCTGTATATGATCTTATGAAACATATCGTACTAGTTTGGGGGTTTTGGGGTTTTAATTGTTTAAACAATGATGTGCTATTTATATTT